CCAACTAGGCTTACTTACTAGAAAAATATATTTCATAATTAATTTAATGGTACTTATCTTGCATTATAAATGTTAGTATATTTTTATATAATTTTGGTCAAGCTTTAAATCATTTGACTCCTCGAAAAGTGCGGAGTGCATTCTTTTGTGGACAAAGGAGTACTTGTTTATTTGATGATCTAATCTACTACGTGTGCATGCATGCTTTGTGATATTTATGCATAGTTGAGCAAATGGGTTATGGTGTGATGGACAGAAGTGCCCTTATGAAAGCTTGTAGAATAGATTTGGTTTCTATATGGCGACTATGTGTTATTGGTGCATGCATGCTCATTCAGTTAGGACTTAGTGTATAGTGTTATGACTCATGATGTATTGATGCGTAGGTCCACATCAATCACTAAAAGTAGATAACTACCAATAAATCCTTAGTCGGTAAAAAGTTTAACCTTGATGATTGTCTGTTTGTTGGTAAAAACAAACCATCAGATGGAATGCTCAAGCCAAGTGAAGTCACGATTGATCCACACGATACACACATGGGTGTACAAGAGACATGGAAACTTGAATAACATGATGATGGTGTTGAAGTCAAAAGCGGTCAAGTAGTCAGTGCAAGCAAAAAGGCAACCTGAGAGCATAGAGCATGGCAGTTGCCAACATGGACTATATATCAAAGAACAAGTTGACATGCTTCAATATTGAGAGGACATACTTAGGGTGGAAGCAAGAATGAAGACAAGCTTTGACAAGCATCAAGAATGATTGGGAAATTTTGTATTAAAACCACAGATGCGTGGATGGTCATCATTGTAGTCAAACTTTGCTTGAAGCGTAAATGCACTTGTCTAGCTATCATGTGTCCTTTGGTTCCTGGCTTGGATGCTCATTCTCACTTACGTCCATGTTTTTGTTGGCACTTTTGTAGCATTTTTGGGGTTCTTTCAAGCTTCCTAATTGTTCACAAGGTCGATGCTAGATGCTACACAAGTTGAATTATGTGACCTAGGCAGTTAGAATAGTGGTGCTGTTTACACCAAAATTTGGGAGAAGAGCGTGGGAACTCGCAGGCTTCCAAGATTGTGCCAATCAAGGAGTCGATTGAATAAGGATTAATATCTGCCGGGTCGAATGTGACACTGGGATCGGTTCTCTCCAAATGACGTCAGCAGATAACGATGACGAGATATGATTGGCATCGAGAAGATACATGTCGTACTCTACAAAAAGGGAAAGATTAGAGTCCAAGTTATCTTAAAATAGGACTATTTTCTTTGTACCAAAGATTGTACTGAGTCGTACTCGAGTAGGATTCATTTTTAGGCTCCGGGTATAAATACCAAACCCCGGCTATTGTAAAACACAGACAATCAATCAAATACAAGTTATTTACTTTTTTGGCTCCGACCACCCCTTAGTAGTAGGAGTAGAGTAGATCTTGGCGAGTTCTTCAGCAAGTACGGCTGCATCGATCCGGTCGACCTCCACTGCTTGTCTGTAAGTACCGTCATGGCTTATACCTCTGTTCGTATGGTTGCATCGATCCGGTCGACCTCCACTACGACTCTAGTATAAGTTAGTTATCGACTCTTGTCTAGTTCAAGTAAGGTTGCATCGATCTGGTCGACCTCCACTGCTCGAACTAGATTAAGATCAAGTTATCGGCTCTATCTAAGGGTGGCCTTCCTTCGGATAGATTCATTAAGTTATCGATATTGCTTATTGCTTCCATTGTTTATTTAATTACAGCAATATCACTTCGCCCGATTGGGATTGATCTAGATCGGCCTTATATCTTGTTTAACCCATCGTTTGTTAATCCAAACTGATCTAATCTGTACTTTAAATGATGAGTTATGTTTTATCGGCTGTTTTATATCAATCTTGATCGTGTATAGCGTGCAGTTAAGGCGTGTCTGATTTTGAGTAGATCTATTGGCTAGCAAAAACCGTTTCATGGCCCGTTATCATGGCCTGTGTGATTCTGCCTCACACCCCACTGTTAGCACCATGGAGTGGGGATCGTTATCTGGTAGATCTGTTCCTAGGAGGGCATGACCTTAACTGTGTGCTATGCCTAAATCGGCTATTTTAGCCGATATCGAGTGCTTTCACGAACAGTTCACGTCATGAGACTGTTGAAGTAGCGATAGGTTGAAAGATGTGTTAGCCCCATGATCTTATTATTGTATTACGACCTGCATGATTCTGCCTCATGCCCCACTGATATTAGTAATAAGTTAGGGTCATTGAGTCTATTGTTGTTTCTACGGCCTGCATGATTCTGCCTCATGCCCCACTGGTCATAGCGATAGATGAGATCTAACACGTTCACTAGATTTATCTCTATTAAATGGTTGAATGATGATGAACTGTTTCTTTTATAAAGGAGTTCGGTTACTTGCAATCATTGGCTTAGCATAAATTAATTACTATTGACATCTTATTGCCATTGACCAATATTGGTTTAAATAATGACATTCATCCTAAACGACAACCGATTCTTCTTACACAACTCCATGAGCTTTAACCGATTTATTCTTATGAATATGCTGGAATCGAGTATTTAGTCGATCTCCTTTCATATTGGCTCTCCGAGCCGCACATTCGGGACTGTCTGGCAACACCGGCACGTTCCGCCCGAAATTACTGATAAACTTTCTCTCCTTGTCAATTGCAGGGTCAAATTGACTGGCACGTCTCGGGAGGATTGCGCAAGATCGACCATCTCTGCGCTGAAGCTAGGCGGATCTACAACTCCATCAAGCAGACCCTTCCGGCTTGCTCGTGTGTCCTCGGCACGGGACGAAAATTCTGTGTCGACAGGTGCATTGTGAGTTGTGTTGAGATCCTATCCACTTTGCTCTAATTGATATTCCATCATATAACTTGGTTGTTTGTGAAGTGCACAAATCATTAGAGAAAACTCGAATAAATGAAAAGGTATGACATTGTCCATGTATATGAGAGAGAACTTTTATGTTTCTTAGAGAGGTGAGCATCTAATTCCTACAAAAAATCAATCTAAATAGAAGAATTAAAAACTAGACAATCCATCGCCTTGTTGGCTGCTACAAAGGTAGAGTATCTATTAAGTTCCTGGACAATCCCATAGGAAATATAAACTTGCAAGAACTAAAAGGATAAGGAGATTTAAACTCAACTTGAATCAAAAGTTGTATTTTCACCTTAGAGAACTTTTGAGCTAATTACTTGCAATAGATTTTAAACAAGATGTAGATCAGGTGAAATCCCAACAACACATGAGTAAGCACCGAGACAAGAGATTTGTACTAAAGTGCATCCCCTCCACAAAAGAGTACCTACGTCTCCATCGAGGTGCTAACAAAGCGTTGGGTATCTTTCAACCTTTATCCTCCCCCAATCAACCATAAAGATGAGGCTTGGGTCACTTACTCAAATTTCTCTAAACATGTGGGTAATACAAACTTCCTGAAGCTACACCACACAGCTTAGGAGTTTCACGGGCGGTGCTTAGCCATCTAGAATCCCAAACCTCCAAGAGTAACAAAGATGAATTACTATCTTGACAAAGCCTCCAAAGCTTAAAGGGGAAAGGTGAATCTTAATTACTCTTCCAAATCTTGTCCCTCTCATGAACCCTAACCAAGTCTTATGAAGAATTACTATAAGGGGTTTGATCAAATTGAGTGATAATAGTGTCAATGGGGAGACTATGTAACTCATGACATTGTCTTGTTGATTGGGTGAGTCCATTAATAAGTTCAAAATAGTCAGTGGCATAGGGAGACTATATGACTCCATTTTCTTTGGTCGGTAACAAACATTGTGATAAGGAGATACATAGTGTCAAAAAGCATACCTCAATAGAGATCTAACATGGATTAGGGTTGTGTTTTGGCAACCGATACCACGTGATAAATCTAGTTGTCTCTTTGCTTCATTTATGTCTTGCATTACTTACTTTATCTTAGTGATTAGTGCTAGTTGTGCAAGGACCTTGTGTGTGACAACTAGGATTACTTGCTAGCTAGTGTGTGCTTACTATAGTGCTTAATTTCACAACGAAGGACTATATCTTAGTGTGCCCTTTGCTAAAAACATATTTAGTGTGATTTCCCTAAGGAATTGGTGTCAGTGTGAATCTTTTAGTCCTTAGGCAAGAACTGCAAGGCTTGGCTACCATGGCAGGCAAACCACCCTCTTCCCCAATGCCCAATCACTAGTTTCTTCGTTGGTGTGGATGTCAACCCGACATATTTTCTCATGTCAGAAACGATTTCTTGTGTGTTTTGCTTCTCTTTCTTAATTTACTCTCCTTCCACGTCATCAAAATGGTGACATGGAGAGGTAACAAATACCAATGGAAACCAGTTTGATAGTTGCCTAATTGCCCTTTCAACTATTCATCTTGCATTTTATTTACTGACCACTCACCCTATTAACTCATCCCTCAACTAACTCCATATCCATCCAATCTTCTTCGACTCCTATATCTTTGAAGGTGATTAGTAATAAGATATGATTTGGCCATCGAACAATTAGCATTAATCATAGTACTTTTAAAAAAAAAGAACACGGTACTAATGGAGGGCATTGAGGTCATTTTCATAAATGTTACTCCCCCCTTGAAAAAAAAAGAAACTTAATTATTGTTTTTTAAAGAGTCAAACTATTTAAATTTTGACCAAATCTAAAAAAAACTAACATTTATGATACTGAATTAGAATCATTAGATTAATCACGGAATATATTTTAACATTATATGTGCTTGAGTCATAAATGTTAATAATATTTTATATAACTTTAGTCAAATTTAAATAGTTTGACTAAATCCAAATCTAAAACTGCATTTCTTTTACGGAGGTAGTAATAATTTGTGTGAACTGAAGTTGATTTAGCAATCTTTTTAAAGGTAGTAGTAACAAGATCCCGAAGCGTGTACGCATACGGTTGGCATGACTCTGCGTGCCTGTAGTCATTGAGGATTGATTGTGCCCGCTGGCCCGCTACATTCCATGATCCTCACCGAAAACGCCGTTCCCACTCTCGTCTCCATCGCAAACAACCGACAACCGACTGACAACCACACAGCGGAGCCCAAAAAAGGTCCAGATAAACAAGATTATCGTGTGCAAAATGTGATTAAATTGACTGAGAAATGGACCATTAACTGTACTATTAGGATTAGGACCTGGACCTATGCCTACAAGATGATAAGGTAAACTAACTTGGACCACAGCATACAATTTATAATGAAAGAGTATGTCTGTGTTTTATACAGTTTCAACACATGAATTTTTTTTGCACTATAGAATTAAGATCCAACGGTCTCCACCCTCCTACTTTCAGCCTCTAGTCTTCTTCTACCTCTAGACAATCACAAATCACAAGACCACAAATCCACAGATCATAAGAAACAATTTTTTTTCTATGTAAACACAAATCACAGAGGAGGAGGAGGAGAGGCCTACTGGAGCCGGATCCGCCGCAGCTAGCAGTTGGCAGACCGACCGAGCTGTAGACCGTGATTGGACACGTGCAGACCGAGCCACAGTTGGCAGCGGGCGGGATTGGACGCGTGCGTGCGTTGCACGGTGTCAGCAGAACGGAGGGAAAGAGAGAGAGAAAATTCATGTATTTTTTTTTACTAAAACACACGTGTGTTATATAGCATTTCTGATAATGAAAATGTAGGAAGTTCCCCAAAATTTCACAATACAATTTATAATGAAGTTGTTAAGGAAAAAATGGGGGCATCCGATGAAATATATTTTTGTTAAACGATATTTATTTATATTGATAAGAATAATTTATCGGTGACATTGAGTGCAGTCAATAAACGATAGGAGTAGAAAATGCATTGATTCCTCCATGGTCCATATGGGACGATGACTGGAGTAAAACAGTGGAGTACAGCAGCAGGAGTGAGAGTGAGGAGAGAAACAGAAACCAACATGCACCGGTTGACAACTTGGTGAATCATCACCCGGGCCAAAGAGGACGAAAAGGCTGCCTGCTGCCGCCGCCGATGTTGCAGCTGCAGTTGCAGATCACAGGACCTTTCTGCATCCAGCCATCCACCCTCCGTCCTCTCTCTCTCTCTCCCTCCCACGCACACAGACACATCACACAGCTGGAGAGCAGGTGCTTCTCTCACATCTCGGACAACGCCGCCGTTGCCAGTCGTCGCGGGGCAGCGCCGAATCCTGATAGGTGAAGAAGGCGTGGCATCCGTCGTTTTCGCTGCAGATTCTTGCTGCGGCTCATCAGCCCTGGCCCCCGTGCCGTGCTTCACCACCAACCCAGCCCAAGACTCCAAGAGGTAGCAGTGCTGCTCCTCTTCCTCGCAGGCAGGATCGTTGTTCTTGATTTCCTTTCCGGGGGGTGTTTGGTTTCCTGACTAATTTTTAGTTCCTGTCACATCGGACGTTCGGATATTAATTAGGATAACTAAATATGAGTTAGTTATAAAACTAATTACACAGATGGAGACTAATTTACGAGACGAATCTATTAAGCCTAATTAGGTTATGATTTGACAATGTGGTGCTACAGTAAACATGCGCTAATGATGGATTAATTAGGCTTAATAGATTCGTCTCGTAAATTAGTCTCCATCCATGTAATTAGTTTTATAATTAACTCATATTTAGTCCTCATAATTAATATCCGAACTAAAATTTAGTCGCAGGCAGGATCGTTGTTCTTGATTTCCTTTCTAGTCTCTCTCGGCGTTTCTCATGGTTGCCGGTTGTTCGATCCGTATGGCTTCGGAAGCGAATTTCTTGGGAACCGTTTTGTAAACAAGGGGGATAAAAAGAGCCACCATTTTCTCTGAATTCTTTCTACTGCACGCCTGGGATTTTGTCTTGTTGGGAATGCTGCTTCTTTGGAATCCAAAAACAACGCAAAAAATGCGTCGCTTCCTCTCAAACAAGATCTTCATTTTTTCCCCTCGGTTGTTCTAGCACATGTCCTCATGATTGAGCTTTTTTTTTCTTCCCCTCTGTGGTTTCTTGTTCTTCCTCCAAAGTCCAAGCCACTAGATGGCGGTGGCATTTTGGGGACGAGATTTTTTGCGTGTTTGGCTGTTCCAGTATTGGATTTATCTTATTTTTCTCCCACATAACACTATTAAATTATCCCAAATCAGCCGAGCTACAGTGCACATATGTACCATCCCTGTATTTGTCTGCGCTTCGCTTTTTTTTTTTTTTTTTGAGAGAGAGAGAACCTGCGCTTCGCTTGTTGGTCTCTCTCAGTCCCCTGTTTTCCGCCATGATTCCATCTTTCCACCAACCGCCCCTGTACCTTCTTCCCAACTGATGATTGCATTGACTTGACTTGTTTGCAGCAGACATAGGCTCATGTCCTGCCCAGCGGTTCGGCTCTCGGTTCTGAGCTGAACGCAACCGGAGAGACTTTGCAGTCCTGAATATGTTTGGTTTCTCGCGGCGCCGGGGGAAACTTGGAAGGTGAATGTTATGTACAGTTCCTTGTTTTCATCATGTCATGCTTTTCCTCACTTAAAAAAAAACGGTACCTGCTGTGTGATGATGACAAGGGGAGCTTGTTAACGTGAAATTCGGTTGCTTGTGTACTCGAGTATCAGTGCATCATTTGAGTTTTGACAGTTAACTTAGTAATTTCACCTGAGTTGATTCATCAGCTGGTGCTCCAGTACATGTCAGACTTCGAGATTTTCTTTAGAGAACTTTTTTCCTTTTACTGACTACCAAACTTCTATGGACACAGTAGTACTGTTGGTAAAAATTGATGGGATACATTGCAAATTGATGAAGTCATACGGCTTCATCAAGCTCAGTTAACATTGCATTGCATTCAACTAAAGTCGCATTTCCTGGTTACATTTGATCCCAATCAGTCCTATTTTCACATTTGCTTTGACTGCTTTATACTTTGTCTTGAGTTTTTTTGCTTTTCTTTTTCAGGTCGAAGGGTGACCCTTTAGATCCTTTGAACAGCTCTAGGAGTCCTGTTGACCCCAGTAAACACCTCAATCTGCACAATGTGAGCCTGTGACCGAAGAAACTGCATCTAGTATTGACCTTGTTGTATTTTGGCCAGAACTGGATGGTTTAGCTCTTGGATTTTTTTCCAATTTTCAGGGGTATGACGAGGTTACGACATCAGTGAGTGGCCGCGCAGATGATCTTTCCTACCGCTGCTCGTCAGATACCTTTGATCCTGACGGACGCACTTTCAATATTTCAGGAAATTGGACTGTGCTGTCCACAGAGGGAGATAAACCTATTCCTCGTTTCTATGTAAGCCACTGAAAATAATATAATAACTAGAATTAAGTTCATGTATCTTGAAAAAAAATAGGTATTTACTTAACACATATTCAACTTTGATCGAACAGCATGCAGCAGCCATCGTAAGTAGCAAGATGGTAGTGTTTGGTGGTGATTCTGGTCAACGCTTATTAGGTGACACAAAGGTATGGGATCTTCTTTTTTCTTATGTATGTTGTTTGGATGTGTGAACTCTGCACTGAGTGGTACCATGTTATTATCAAATAATCTTATAATCTTATGACTTCACTTATTGTATTAATTAGATACTGAATTTAGAGAAGCTTACTTGGGATTCTGCGCCTCCTAAAGTTTACCCATCACCAAGTGGACGTTCGATGAAGTTGCCAGCCTGCAAAGGTCATTGTCTGGTATAGCTCATGTAAATCACTACTCTGTAGTGGTTCTTGAAACCTAAGTTACTGATATGATCATTCTTTAAATAAGAAAATTTACTGTTACATCTTTTTCAGTTAAATTGCTACTTGTCCTTGGACGTTTTGGTATGCGTTTCACATTATTGGTCAATATTTTCTTACTTTAAGCCGACTATTTTATACTTTTATGGAAAATTGTACGCTGGACACTATGTTTGACCTATTTTCACTTTGACATCATCCGAAACTCAATGTATTATAAGTTGATCTATTATTCAAAGAAGACAAGAATTGTTCTCGATGATGCCTTTTTGTATGTGTAACACCCTAAAATTTGTACTTTTAAAAATAGGATTAAAATGATTTATTTATAAATTTTTGTACACATGAAATATAGGAAAAAGAATATTTTTCATTATATTAGAATTCATCATAAGGAATAGCAACATGGATGTGCATACATGCCGGTGCATTTGATTTATTGCAATGAGTGGTTGAATCCAAAATTTAAAATGAATTCAAAATGCTTTTGAAATGAATTTGAAAATGGCTTTGAAAATAAAAGAATTTAAAAAGTTGTAAAATTTATTTTTGAAAAACTTACCAAAATTTCTCATTTTTTATTTGAATTGAAAAGTATATTTGAATTTGTATTTGGTTCATAATTGAATTTGGTTTTAAAAACAAAATAGAAAAAAAAAACTTTCCCTCTCCTCTCCCTCCTTTCGGCCCGGCCGGCCTGCCCTGTCATTCCCCTCACTCCCCGCATGGGCCTGTTGCTCCCGGCCCAAGCGCTCCCCCTCCTTTCCTTCTCTCTTTGGCGCCGGCCCAGCCCGCAGCCGCAGCAGCCGAAGCCGCCGTGCACGCTCCTCTTCCTCTCTCTGTGACCGACAGCCTTGGCCCTCTCCCTCTCTCGCTGACAAGTGGACCCCTTTGTCAGACGTGTCTCCTACCTTCCGCGGACTCTGCCACTGACGACTCCGCCCCGTCTCCTCCCGAACCCTAATCGCCGCAGCCACCGCCTCGCTCAAGTATCGCCCGTGCGCCGCAACCCTAGCCCGCTGCCGCCGAGCTCATCTCGTCGCTACCATGCCTCGCCGTTGCATCGAGCCGCTCTTCGGTCTTCGTGTGGAGGTAAGCAAGCTTCGAGTACCGCCCTTGCTCCCTCCCTCGCTTTCAACCGTCGGTGCGAGCTCGCCGTTGCATCGCCGGATTCTCGAGCCACAAAATCGAGCACCGCGTCGCCATCGTGCCATCGCAGCCGCTCTTAACCCTTCTGTCTAGTTTGGCTCTAACTCCTCTTGCTTCCTGTGCCTTTCCTATGTCCAACGGTGATCGGAGTCGCCCATTCGACGAACTCTGGTGAGGTCTAGCCCCATCGGCCATGGCAACCACCGCGTCGGATTCCCTATTCCAGCCGTGCCTTCTCTCACCCTCCTTTCTAATCTGGGCCGTCCGGATTCAATCCAACTGTCCAAGATCGCTCGTACCCGTTCGCTGTGGCGGTTTTGCTAAAGAGCCCCTTCCTTTCCTAGTATTAGAACCCGCCATCCAGCGTAGTTCAAAATAATTCAATCAATGCCCCTAGTTTTTATGTTTTGACCCCTGTGTTTTCTTAAAAACGATGCCAAGTCCACAGAGAAGTTTTAATTCATTTTATTTTATTTTAAAACTAAAAATGAGTTCAAATAATTACAAAATTGCCACTGATTTTGTTTTGCTCATATCATCTCCTTTTTACCTCTGATTTGACCCGTTCAAGTTGCGTTAGATTCGTAATTGAGTAATCTACATGTTCATCCTACTGTTAAATATATTTTCAACTTTTGAAATTTGAGGTAAGATTTAATCTATTATTTTATTAAAGGAAATCTTGTTTAATTCATAATTTTTTTTGTTATAGCTCTGATTAGTGTGCTCTTCGCGCCTGTGTGTAGAACGTCTTTAAAACCTTTTACTTACTGTTTCGTATGTTTGGTGTATTGTTCTAATTTAATTCTATTGTTTGCTTCATGTATGATTGCATGGATGCTTATATGGTGTTTTATGATCATGCCCAGTCAGTGAGCTATACACAGTGAATCTAGAAGTAATTCATTGAAGGTTTGGACTAAAAAAAGGATCTGAGTTTAAGGCAAGTATAGCATGGGACCATCCTTGTTACCTATTCACCTTTAATCACTTAATTAATATTGCATGTGTCTACCTTGTTGCCAATAAGGATATCCTAGATATTTGATATCTTGTACCTTGACACCATGGATGATTATGCATTAGGTAGTATGATGCTAGTGCTCAATTAAAGACCGTGATCTTGTAACTTGACTAATGGAATATGCAATAAACCCTAAAAGATATTTTTAGCAACATAGAACAAGGGGGCTAAGAGCATTGGGCAATTTTTATGGTGCTCTAAATTCCTCTCCCTAAGGACTTATCTGTAAGTGATCATCCGGGACTTACAGTACAACTGTGAGGGCTACATGGCTCTGGCTTTAGCTCAGTATGAGGACATTTTCTAGCTTGTTAGTGGTTACCTTTATGGCGTAAGAATGTCTTGTCGAATCGGGTATAGGACAACCTCTACTCTTATGTGTATAGCCGTGATGGAATTGTGTCATTCGACAGGGGGTTCCTATATCTGTTTGCCGAGTGAATCTAATGGCCATAACTTGTTAGATGAACCTTTGAAAGGCTTCATAGTGAACCCTGTCGACTTTCCTTGGTAGTAGGTTAAGAGGCTCGCGACCTCAGGCGAAAGGGTAAATCACGACTCACAGTTAAAGTGTACAACCTCTGCAGAGTATAAAACTGTTATAACAGTCATGCTCACGGTTACGAGCGGCCTTGGAACATTTACGAAATAGATAATCATTAATGGTTAATGATGATGAACACTGATGATAAAGATACTCACTAATAATTACTGTTTATGTTATTCATTATTCATGTTTACCTGATCATGTGTTGATATGAGCTTATGAATAAACTTGTTGCCACCCAGTTGCTAAAATATGACTCATTAAAAGCTAATTGCAGTTAAACTAGTATCAGCCTTTTAAGCCTCATGAACCTCATGTTATATTTGTTGAGTATGAAATGTACTTACGCTTACTTTACTTTTCAAATATTTGGATAAAAATCCCGGATGGGTACCAGATTGCTAGAGTTTGGAGGAATTATGCTTGTGATCAACCAGTCAGTTGTCCCCGTGGAATTGGAGTCTTTACCCAAAGATCGGAGTTGTCTTTCCGCTGTTTGCTATCTAAGATTATGTCCTTTATACTAAGTATGTTATATATTAAGCATTGTCTATTGATATTACCTTTATTTGTAGTTATATGTGAGATTTGACTTCCTGGGCTCATATATGGTGTGTATCTGGTTTTGTCCTTAAAACCAGGTGCTACAAAGTGGTATCAGAGCAATGCTGACTGTAGGACACAAGCCTAGTAGAAACAGGTCGTTCTAATGTTTAGAAGTTGCTACAAAAACCCTTGCTTTATGAACCTTGATATTTTCTTCTCTACTATATCTCTACCCTTGTTATTCATCTCTACCTTGGTGTTTATTTTAAAGTCTTTGTTCTCCTCTTTACCTCTTGATTTGATATGCTTTGAGAACTGTTCCTCACCACCTTCTTGCGTAATCTGAAGACGAGTCTTAGGATTGTTACTTCTATTATAATGAGGATGATAGTATCGCAAGTTGAGTCAATGATTGAGTTGTGCACCTTTATTCCTTTGTTGAATTGTCATGGTGCTTATGCTTGTTTTGAATCTTTGTAATGATTGCAATGATCTTGTGGGTGTTCCCACCATTTTATTTAGTTTATAGACCTAAGGTATAAGGAACAATGCAATAAATAGTGGGGTTATGGTTTTCTTCTGTTTTCCCTATCCTGTCTTTCAGAGCAGTCTGCCCTTTTTGGCTTATGTCTTTGATTTTGGACGATCAGAAATCATGAGAAAAATTCTGGATAACAGTACACTTCCATATATTTTTCTGAGCGTAAGAATCAGCCTGATAGCTATTTTGGTTATGAAGTTACGAAAACCACAAGACGATGCATCTGTGTTGTTTGAAACCGAGAGCAGTTTCTGTTGTGCACTATTTTTTACTACATAAACTGCAGAATTTGGAAAAGTGTTCTATAAGGAAGTTGTGGATAATTTTATAAGCTTTCTAACGGTATAATCTACAACTTCATTGGATTAACAGAATGAGAGTTTCAGCTATTTTACTGTGCTGCTATTTTCCTGCCCCGCGAGTGAAATTGAGTTATCTGTTCACAACTTTGCACATGAGTTTCTTTGGGATGTCAGAATGCCCTTATGCTAGTTCATCCATCTAGACGAAGGTGGAAGCTACCCCATTTTGTCCCCTAGTTGATCTTTTCTTAAGGGGGTAGCCAGGTTGAAGAAGTTGCAAGATGAAGTTTCATATGTTCTAGTTATTCATTTGGAAGCATCGATTATCTCTGTGATGGTTGCTACCATGAGAAGGTGTTTGTTGCGTCTGGCCAACTCCAGGGTGCAGCACAAGTTTAGTGGGAGTCTTATCAGTATGGACGTCCCAACAATGGTGGATAGATCATCTGGAAGGAGTTTAGCAAGAGCTTCAGGTCATACCACATTCCCACAGGTGTGGTAGAACTCAAGCCAGATGAGTTCTGGCCTCTCAAGCAAGGATCTATGACTGTGTATGAGTATCATGACATGTTCACTCAATTGTCGCGTTATGCTCCAGAAGAAGTGGATAACGATGCTAAGAAACAGAAACGCTTTTTGAAAGGACTGAATGATGGTTTGCAACTACAGCTGATGACCGTGGTGTATGCTGACTATCAGACGTTGGTGGACAGAGCAAATGTAATTGAGAACAAGCATTGAGAGATGAAAGAGAAGAAGAGAAAGCTTGACATTCAGCGCCAGTTAAGAAACACTCGTCTTCATTTTGCTACACAAGCAGAATATCAGTCACGCCCTATGAATCTGCTTGGGAGTACAGATCAGGATCAGTATCATTAACCTAATGATGAAGTGCAGCATTTTATCTCTCAAGAGCCATGTCTGTCACCTTGATGAAGACAAATACTTCTACTAGTGAGGAAGATTATGATTGTGGTGAAATTGGACACTATAAGAACGATTGTCTTGAGAAGCTTGCTGAGAGTAATCAAAGCTAGAATCAATAGCAGTAGGAGCCAGAACAGAAAGTCCATAAGGAGCAGGTGCAAGGAAATAAGTTAAAGCAAAACTACATTCAAGGCAGGTTGCACAATGTAGATATGATTACCACTCATGTAGCTAAGGAGGTCATTTATGGTTTGATTACAGTAAGCTCAGACACTGCTATGGTGTTGTTTGACCCCAGTGTCACATTCATTTATCTTTAGTGTGTACGCAGAAGATCATAAGATAACTATGCTTCCGATGAGGAAACCCTAATAATTAACTCTCTAGGAGGAGAAAAGAAGGCAAACCGCATATGTCCAAAAGTTAGTCTTAACATAAAAGGGAAGAACTTGAAGGCAAACCTTGTTGTTTTGGAATTAATGGACATTGGTGTTATCCTTGAAAAGGGATGGTTATCTGCTTGTAAAGGAGTGATTAAGTATGCCCAACGTTCGGTGCTTCTAACAACATCGTCAGGAGAAAGAATTGAGTATGAGGTTAATCAACCTGCACCTGAGAAATATGAGAATGACCTATTAGAAGGTGTATACTCAGAGGACGTATACCACTTAAGGGTTTCATAAGCCAGAGTAAGTATCCTTTGCTCGGTTTATAAATTATTGGATCATCTACGAGGAATGGATGCATTCGTCAATATGGCTCTGCAATTCAAGCTATCCTCAGCTGGGAGTCCAATCTTCAACATACCTAGGACAAGTAGGCATTGATGACATAGGAATGAGATATCTAATAACTATAGTTAGTTCTACGGAGTCTCAGGAAATCCCAATGATATACTAAGCATGACAAGAAGGTTTGGGATTGAAAAAAGTTAATGATGTGATTGGAATCCACTCGAAGATGTGAGCAGAATTCAGAGTTTTAATAATGAGGTTTGGTTAGAGGTTCAAGGAAAGTTTATCCAAGATCATCAAGATATTGACAGTGCTAATTGAGAAGGTTTTAAGTTTGGGATCAAGAGACCTCAGCTAAGTTCTGAAGGAGTAAAAAAAGGGTTGAAGTAAAGCCTAAGTATTAGTTTTGCCAGATCTGGACAAGAGCTTTATATCTACTATGACGCACTTTGTTAAGGTGTGGGATGTGTCCTTATACAAGAAGAAAAGTAATAGCTTATTCATTAAGTCAACAAAGGAAGCGTGAGTTGGATTACCCAACATATTATGTGGAGTTATCCATTGTGGAGTATGGAAGTACTATCTTTTGGGCGCAAAAGTGACATCTAGGAGGATCACAAGAATCTACAGGACATCTTCACTAAGTTGGTCTTGAGCTTGTGATATTCTCGTTGGAATGAAATTGATTATGACTTAGAAAAGTGCTATCACTTCGAGGCGCAAAGTCATGGCCGATGACCTTAGCAACGGAGAATTTTGCTAAGAAGGTTCGGGTGACACCAAGGACTAAGAATTGTATTTCAAGTTCGAGCAACTTAACCGGAATCATTAATGTTTTGAAGATTAGGGTAGATTCTCTTTCTAACCAAGAGATTCGTAAGGCTCCGTTAGAAGGTGAACATAGGAAGAAAGAGGTCTAATAAGTATGGACTAAAAAGGAAAGGTGGGCTAGTGATTGGAGATACCTGAGAGTTATTCAAGGTGCCTGTTAAGATCTTAGAATTAGTTGAGCAAGTTACTTTGAGTAAGGTTAACAGGTATGCAAAGTAAAGAGGGATCCTTATCAAGACGATGGAACTACATGAGGAAGTAAAGAAGAATCCAAAGATGGAGTATCCCTATCTCCTAGTCGATGTCTTCCAAATCTCAAGGACAAGATTCATCTTAAGGGGGGTAAATTATAACACCCTAAAATTTGTAATTTTGAAAATAGGATTAAAATAATTTATTTATGAAATTTTGTGCACATGAAATATAGGGAAAATAATATTTTTTATTATATTAAAATTCATCATAAGGAGTAGCAACATGGATGTGCATACATGCCGGTGCATTTGATTTATTGCAATGACTGGTTGAATCCAAAATTCAAAATGAATTCAAAATGCTTTTGAAAATAAATTTGAAAATAGCTTTGAAAATAAAGAATTTAAAAAGTTGTAAAATTTCTTTTTCGAAAACTTACCAAAATTTCTCATTTTTTATTTGAATTGAACAGTATATTTGAAACTATATTTGAATTTGCATTTGGTTCATAATTGAATTTGGTTTTGAAAACAAAATAGAAAAAATCCCTTTCCCTCTCCTCTCCCTCCTTTAGGCCCAGTCGGCCTGCCCTGTCCTTCCCCTCACTCCCCGCATGGGCCTGTTGCTCCCGGCCCAAGCGCGCCCCCTCCTTTCCTTCTCTCTTTAGCGTCGGCCTAGCCTGCAGCCGCAGCAGCCGAAGCCGCCACGCACGCTCCTCTTCCTCTCTCTATGACCGATAGCCTTGGCCCTCTCCCTCTCTCACTGATAGGTGGATCCCTTCCGTCTAGTTTGGCTCGAACTCCTCTTGCTTCCCGTGCCTTTTCCGTGTCCAACGGTGGCCGGAGTCGCCGATTCGACGAACTCCGGTGAGGTCTAGCCCCGCCGACCATTGCAACCACCGCACCGGATTCCCTGTTCCAGCCGCGCCTTCTCTCACCCTCCTTTCTAATCTGGGCCATCCGGATTCAATCCAACGGTCCAAGATCGCTCGTACCCCTTCACTGTGGCGGTTTTGCTAAAGAGCCCATCTATTTTCTAGTATTAGAACCCGCCGTCTAGCATAGTTCAAAATAATTCAATCAATGCCCCTAGTTTTTATGTGTTTGACCCCTGTGTTTTCTTAAAAACGACACCAAGTCCACAGAGAAGTTTTAATTCGCTTTCTTTTATTTTAAAACTAAAAATGAGTTCAAAATAATTACAAAATTGCCACTGATTTTGTTTTGCTCATATCATCTCCGTTTTAACTCCGATTTGACCCGTTCAAGTTGCGTTAGATTCGTAATTGAGTAATCTACATGTTCATCGTACTGTTAAATATATTTTCAACTTTTGAAATTCGAGGTTAGATTTAATCTATTATTTTATTAAAGGAAATCTTGTTTAATTCATAACTTTTTCGTTATAGCTCTGATTAGTGTGCTCTTCGCGCCTGTCTGTGTAGAACATCTTTAAAACATTTTTACTTACTGTTTCATATGTTTGGTGTACTGTTCTAATTTAGCTCTATTGTTTGCTTCGTGTATGATTGCATGGATGCTTGTGTGGTGTTTTATGATCATGTCCAGTCGGTGAGCTATACGCGGTGAATCCAGAAGCAATTCATTGAAGGTTTGGATTAGAAGAAGGATCTGAGTTTAAGGCAAGTATAGCATCGGACCATCCTTGTTACCTATTCACCTTTAATCACTTAATTAATATTGCATGTGTCTACCTTGTTGCCAATAAGAATATCCTAGATATTTGATATCTTGTACCTTGACACCATGGGTGATTATGCATTGGGTAGTATGATGCTAGTGCTCAATTAAAGACCATGATCTTGTAACTTGACTAATGGAATATGTAATAAACACTAAAAGATGTTTTTAGCAACATAGAACAAGGGGGCTAGAGCATTGGGCTGTTTTTATGGTGCTCTAAATTCCTCTCCCTAAGGACTGATCTGTAAGTGATCATCCGGAACTTACAGTACAACTGTGAGGGATACATGGCTCTGGCTTTAGCTCAGTATGAGGATATTTTCTAGCTTGTTAGTGGTTATCTTTATGTCGTAAGAATAGCTCGTCGAATCGGGTATAGGACAACCTCTACTCTTATGTGTATAGCCGTGATGGAATTGTGTCATTCGACAGGGGGTTCCTATATTTGTTTGCCGAGTGAATCTAATGGCCCTAACTTGTTAGACGAACCTTTGAAAGGCTTCATAGTGAACCCTACCGACCTTCCTTGGTAGTGGGTTAAGAGGCTCACGACCTCGGGTGAAAGGGTAAATCACGACTCACAGTGAAAGTGTACAATCTCTGCAGAGTGTAAAACTGTTATAACAGCCGTGCTCACGGTCACGAGCGGCCTTGGAACATTTACGAAATAGATAATTATTAATGGTTAATGATGATGAACACTAATGATACTGATGATAAAGATGCTCACTAATGATTACTGTTTATGCTATTCATTATTCATGTTTACCTGATTATGTGTTGAAATGGGCTTATGAATAAACTTGTTGCCACCCAGTTGCTAAAATATGACTCATTAAAAGCTAATTGCAGTTAAATTAGTGTCAGCCTTTTGAGCCTCATGAACCCCATGTTATATTTGTTGAGTACGATATGTACTTACGTTTGCTTTACTTTTCAAATATTTGGATAAAAATCCCGGATGGATACCAGATTGCTAGAGTTTGGAGGAATTAAGCTTGTGATCAACCAGTCAGTTGTCCCTGTAAAATTGGAGTCTTCACCCGAAGATCGGATTTGTTTTTCACTGTTTGCTATCTAAGGTTATGTCCTTTATACTAAGTATGTTATATATTAAGCATTGTCTATTGATATTACCTTTATTTATAGCTATATGTGATATTTGAGTTTCTGGGCTCATATATGGTGTGTATCTAGTTTTGTTCTTGAAACCGGGTACTACAGTATGCACTGCTTTAGTACTGGAAAAATATTTATACATGTGTGATGTACAGGTTCCATGGGGAAATAGTGTCATTCTTGTCGGAGGTAAAACTGAGCCTGCTTCTGATCGTTTATCAGGTTTGCAGATGCTACATGATTCTCCAAAACATTTGCAAATTAGGTCATGTCTTGCTCAACCTGATAATGGTTGACCATTCCATTTCTGGTGCAGTATGGACTTTCAATACAGAAACAGAGCTTTGGTCACTTATTGAAGCCAAGGGTGATATCCCTGTAAGCTATCTGATATTAAGAGTTATACTTTGGCAAATATTCATGTGAAAATTGACTAAAGTATCTTCTGGTGCTGAGTTAAGGCAGCTCGAAGCGGCCACACGGTGATTAGAGCTGGTGCTACATTGATACTTTTTGGCGGTGAGGACACAAAAGGAAAGAAACGGCATGACCTTCACATGTTTGATCTTAAGTCATCAACATGGCTTCCATTGAACTATAAGTAAGTCATAATTGATTTTGGGATACTACATTTTTGCTACTGGTCTATGGTTGTCCCAACTTAACATTTCCCATATAAGCGCATCTGATTTTTTTTTTAATTGGGGTTAAATTCAATTTGTGTTCTTTTGTAGAGGCACTGGACCTTCTCCAAGATCCAATCATGTTGCTACACTGTATGATGATAGGATCCTTCTAATTTTTGGAGGCCACTCAAAATCTAAGATACTTAATGACTTGTATTCTTTAGATTTTGATACAGTAAGTTTTTGTGAGCATCCTTGGTTCAGTATACCTCAATACATTTTGCATTTAGCAGGCTACTTATTAGTGTTATCTTCCTGACAGATGGTATGGTCAAGAGTGAAGACCCATGGTCCTCACCCATCACCTCAAGCTGGTTGCAGTGGAACTCTGTGTGGAACTAAGTGGTACATAGCTGGCGGTGCAAGCAAGAAAAAACGTATGTCTCAAGCTCTCAATTTGGAAGATGAGTTGGTGGTTTTATTTCTTAATGAATAATACATGTATTGCTAATGATGACCATCTATCTTATTTTGCAATTTCTAACAAGAAATCAAATTCTCAGGACATGCAAAAACCTGGGTTTTTTATGTTCTACAATCTAAGTGATCTGTTTGTGTAGTACCCCCTAGTTCATCAATTACTACAAAAAAAGTAAGTAATTTTCTTTCTGACTCTCTTATTTAGTTTTGATAGTATCTCGTATTCACTACTTTCCATTTTACATCACTCAACTAATTAGCCAGAAAACTAAAACAACTACTGATGCAGGGTTTCAGCATGGTTCCTTTCTACCACAGGGACAAGATTGCTCTTATTGCATTTGGAGGGAACAAAAAAGAGCCGTCCAACAAGGTGAAGCAATCGGTTTCTACTAAAGAGCATATTTTTTAGTGACTGTTAAAGAACTGGTTGTCATTTTGATCCAAAAAAAATATAGTGTGGCTTCTCATGATCTTAAGGCTCTTAAAACACAATTTGTCATCATTGTCTGGCACATTTATGATGTATGTTTTCCACTTACTACCTCATGTGAAGTCAACTAAAAATGGTTTTGAAGTTTGAAGCTTTCATATCAACTTGGATTGTATCATTGACCATGTGACCTTGTGCAGGTTGAAGTATTAGTGGTACTGCAAAATGAGCATTCTTTTAGTTGGCGTTCGGCCCCAGAAGTGGACCGTGTGCTGTACGAGTACCCTCCAAGCAATAAGGAGCTTGCTGATCATCTCAACAAATGTGCCCCCTTGTACTCTAACAGTTCCATCGCAAGGCATAGTCTCACTTCTGTGATAGAACACCCTCCTAGAAGGGAACCCCTCTCTGAGTCATTGTTGAAGCAGTCCAGTTTGGGCACTTCACTCCATGGGCAGTTGGATCAAGTAGAAGAGTGCAGCCTAGGTCAGAAATTGCAGAAACCAATCGATGATGACAGATACGATAACGTTGATGACGACTCTTCATGTCAAGATAGCACTGTGAACAGCTACGAGCAAATGGACATATTATTTGTTTATCTGCATAATAGATTGTTTCTTACAGCCGAAAGGGCATCGGAGCAAAAGGACAGGACCTGGTATTCAGAATGACATAGCAGAAAATATGGTGACTGGAGGATCAAATGTGAGATTGTGAGAAGGATAGCTAGATGCTCTTCAGATGTTAGCCAGAGCCACTTATACAACACAAAAATAGCAGACTTAATCAGAAGAAACACCACGCTCGAAGACCAGCTTGCGACCGCGCTGGCGAGCAAAGACCAGCTAGAGAAGAGCTTATCATCAGTCATTCACAGCAGAGAACAGCTGGAGAAGATGCTTGCCAACAAAGATAAGGAGGCTGAGATGCTGAAAGAGCTTAGAGCTGGCGCAGGAAGAGTCGAACAGCCTCTCGAACACAGTGCACGCTGATAATGTGCGCCTCGAGCGTGAAGTGGCGTTCCTGAAGGCCGTCTCAGATGAAACTCAGAAGGCAAGGAAACTTGATGCTTACTAGTAATGTTTGGTGATCCTGATGTGTTCTTTACTGAGTTCGTTTTGGTCTTGCAGGAGCTGCATTCCACTCGTAGAGTTTTAGCAGGAGAACAGTCGCGAGCGTTCCAGCTCCAGGTACTACATTTGAGACATATTGACCCCATACATTGAGACTTAACTGAGCCAAAATGTTTTTGTCACGCAACTTGACAAATTTTACCTACCAGTAACTCACCATGGCTTTTTCCAGGTTGAAGTGTTCCATCTCAAGCAGAGGCTGCAAATACTGGAGGGAAGATCAGGAACACCCACCAAACAACCTCTATAGCTTGTAGTTGCTACATTTCTGGACATCAATTGTTGCAAGTTTGTAACAGCCCCATGTAAATGATTCCGTGGTGAGCGTTTATGTGATCAACAGGTTTTGATATGCAACCATGTTAGATCTGTAATTTGTGGGACATGATATAAAACTATAAATAGCTAACGGATTGAACCGTGCTATATGAGTAAATATTGATCTGTAATTTGCGGGGACATGGTTATACTTACCTGAAAGGTGGCTCTTCCTTTCCCTAAGTTTCAATTAGCATTGATTTTTACATCAAAAAGACAAACTGTCATTCTTAATTTCCTACTATCAAATTTCAAGTTTAGTCGGAGAAGAATGTTGCATTGTTAAGTGCTTTTACGCACAAAACTGTACTAAACAATTAATCATAATATAAAATTAAGTTAATTATCAACTATAAAATTTTATTCGGAGAATCAAATTCAACAAGAGCGCGAGTCAGCTATTTAGTCCCATTCTCCATAAATAACTTAAAATGGAACGGTGCCTTTGTCTACACAGTATCCACTGTACATTTGCCAATTGCCATCACAACATCATGATCCAACATGAGGGCGGATTACAGCAGCAGACCTACAGGGTTACATAAATATATCACTATTCTTCATCTTCATCTTCATCGTCATCATCCGGAATGGCAGTGTCATCGCCAATACCTTGCAGAAGGGTATCCACATCTTCACCGAGCTCTGCCAGCCTTGTGCTCAGCTTCTCAACCTTAGTTTGTTCCTGGCCGAGGCAGACGAGTAGATCATTCAGTTCCGCCTCACTATCCTTCTCAGCCTCTTCCTTGGCTTGCGCTTTTATTGCTTCCACGTCAGGATACGGCACACTGCCTCCCTGCCGCAAGGTTTTTACCTCGGCATCCAAGCGGTAGTTGGCCTGCTCTATGCTGTTGTAAGCTTCTGACAAGCTCTTGAGATCAGACTCCAGTTTTACTGAAAGGTTTCTTTGGTTGTTAGCTTCAGCTTCAATCTGGGACTTCTCATCTTTGAGTGCCTCTATCTGTCGTTTCGCTCCCTCCAGTTCTTGTCTGAGGGCTTCAATCTGGACCCTTTCTCGGCCACTGCTCGGTTTGTGTGAAGTATCTGTGGTGGCACCACCAGTTCTCACTAACTCTTCTGCTAACATTGCATTTCGAGCTAGTAAGTCCTGACAGATGCCATTATAAATATCAGTGTCAGCTTCTTATACTTTCAGGTACAGCAGTGTCTGAAATACACTAGCAACAACAGGCACCCAGCAATAAACCCATCAATCTAGAAACAATTATGTATGGCCACTTGCACAACAATTCACATGTTAACTTTATGAGAACCATGTTATCTAAAATATTTTCTAAGGAACTTTTCAAATGTCTGAGTTTGCATCAATCAGCTTGTTATTGGTTAATAAAACATAGGGTCCTCTAGTACCGGAGTATTTGACAACCTAACCTCAGTGCTGCCCAGAAGACTGGACCATTCAAGAAGGTGGTGTCTTAAGGAGCAAGCTCCAAATAATGAGAAATATATGAAGTTTTATTAACACTAAGTCATAGAACATAGTGAATAACCTAATTTAAGAATCACTTTCTGACAAGATCATGCCAAGAGACCCTTCATGTTTGCTAACTGCTTAGTCTTTTGGATTAAGAAAATGATGTTAATGAAATTTAAACTATTGTCAGGTGTCCCAAAATAGTAGTCATTTCTTTTTTTTCATGGCAATGCACAAAACATCATTTTTTAGCTTTGAATTTTTGAAGTAATTCAACAGGAAATTCTCTGAAGGCAACAAATGGAAACCTACCTGCATCTCATTGCACTGTTTCTCTACAAATGACTTTAGTCGCTTGATATACTCTCCATCGACCTCCCCGTTCTTCTGCTCCAATTCAGTAGGAAGGACTGCAGTTGCAGTTTTTGTCCGACTAAATATATCCATTATGTTTTCTCTAATATCAGCCTCAAGCTTACTAAGGAAATTAACAAACTGTGAATCAAATATTTCTGAGAGGACAGGGTGTTGATCGTCTTTATTTGTTTCATCCTCTTCAATCTCTTGGAAATCTGACATGCTATTCGCACTTGATCGGGAGAGCTCCTTGCGGTGATGCTGCTCTGACAACGGATGTGCCAAACTTTTCCTCAATTCATCAAACCTCAAAAAGTATGTTGTGAGGCCAATCTTTTGACTTATAGCATCTGCAACAGCAAAGGCATCACGACCCTTCTCACGGCTAGCATTGTACAGGATGCAAGCACCTAGAACAACAGCAGCCAGTCCACGAACACAAGCAGTGTAACATTTACTTGAAGCAAGCTCTATTATGTAGTTCAGATGCACTGCTGATTCCAAAAGGCAGTTGACAGCATTTGAACAATCAACAAGCCATATGATGAGTAGCCGAAGAATAACAGGTTGAATGTACGGTTCTGGTTGGTTGTTTTGGTCGTTTTCTCCATCTGTTGAAGCTGCAATGGACAAACATGTGACAATACGATGCAATACCGGCTCAGTTCGCCCCAAGGACGGTGTAGGTGTCTCAAGCTGAATTTGCAATACCTGAAAAAACATCAGTTGTGACTTGTGAGACAACCTTCTGTCTTAAGTTGTACAAGGGGCATAAAACAAATACACATATGAGACAGAGACACGCTACTGAATCATGCTTTATAGTAGTCAAAGAATTGGCATAAACAGGCACTAAAGCCCCAAATAGTTTAAGGGTATAAGAAAAATAACATGACTAAATATTAATTACTTTAGGATCAAGAAGAAGAATCATAACACAATAACGAGCCAAGCTCAGATACTCCCATCACAAGCGAGGAAGCATATGATTAGTTCTACCAACAACACTAAGAAGAAAAGGTCATGTGTCAACGCAGCTCAATATCCATTTTATTTTATTTTCAAAATAGAATAGTGGAGTCAGTTAATAATTAGATTTACACCGCTTAATATTTCGGCCATGTTATCAGCGGTGAATGGTGATGTAAGGCATGTGTTAGGGTTATGTTCTATCATGTGGTCCAAAAATTGTGATAATTATTGGCCATACGCATCCTGGATCTTTAGAGGTTGGAATAATATTTTGTTCCATCATCTAAAAAATAGTCAAACCTTAGCAGTAGGGTACTTGGTTTGCTACTTAAGTTTATATACAGGTAGAATGAATGAAAGGTTGAAGGGTGCATACATGATCCTTGCTTTGCAAGTTGTCCTTGATAATGTGAGAAAGAACGCTAGATGCTCTGCAACATGCCTGTGTAATTTTGGTCAAAATGTTAGAACAATTGATTAAACACAGGTACACAGAGACCACTTGAATGTCCTGTAAACTGGAGCTTTAGGTTTTCAAGACTTCACCTCCATATCTCCATTGACATCACTTGAAACCAGAGCTTGCAGAAGTACACTGTCATTAAAAGGCAATGTATGTCAACTGTCAATGGTTCATGATGAAATTGATACTACAACAAATCACATGGGTTTGGCAGAAGCAACAAAAGAAATGCCAGAGTGGGATGGCCAAAATTATATAATGGTGAAGATATATGTTATTTTGGCCTTGGCTCAAGCAGTAATTTATAAACATTGCAAAAGGCAGCGAAGGTTAATGTCCTTTAATGTAAGATACAACTTATGTACAACCAACAAACCAACCTTCCAAAAGGCATGTCACTAGCAGGTCCATGCGTATCTCCTTGGTTCGGATGTGGAGCAATAGTTGATGCTAATAATGCCTGGCCATTAGGATTTCTCTGTTTCACAAATGGCAAACCAAAGATTGTTATGTGCTTTGTTAAGGAAAAAACATGAAAGCGTAATAGTTTCAAACAAATACTAACCAACAGTTACATGTGAAGACTTTAGAAGCACAAATTGTTAGAACATTGAACAAGTATTCTTGGATTACTATGCATACTAGAAACCAAAAGTTTTCCACTTGAGCAGTAAAGTTAGTTCTACTTCAGTTTGTATCATTGCATGTAATGTTACACAATTTTATGCTAGGCCTTCCATTCCTATAAAAAAGGGGCGTACCCAGTGCAGAGAGCTATAGTTAGTGGCAAGCCTTACCCTCGCCTGTGCAATGCGAGGAGACCGCGACTCGAACCCGGGACCTTCCGGTCACAGGCGGTAAGACTCTACCGCTTGCACCAGGCCCGCCCTTCAAAAAAGGGGAGTACCCAGTGCAGAGAGCCATTCCTATGTTTCATCTTTTTATTTTCAGAGTACATATGTGCTAAAGAAATATGACTCTTTGTAATCCGGATGATGATACACAAATATTTACTACAGTGACTCATTGCCTTCTTAGTGCTTGCTAGTTTAGACATAATTAAAGAAGCGAGCACAACAGTAGAATAACCACCTCGCAGAAACACTTGAATACATAATCAGCAGCAACAAATTCCTGCGTTATAGAGGTCCGCAAGATTATAGAGAAGATAGCATTCAGTGCAGGTTGAACATGAGGCTCTTCTCCAACTTGCTTTCTTGCAAGAGAATCAAGATTCTGAGGATTTCTTAACACCAAATTGCCAATACATCGCAGTGCCTGGAACAAATTTATGGCCAGTGCCAAACAAGGTAGCATCATTCACTGGTTGAAAAGGGGAAAATGCAGGAGCAGACAGTCCTAAGGGAATTACCATACAGCGGAGGGCGACAGGGGCCCACTGACTCTCAACACCCAACAAAAGAAGATGGTCCAGAATGTTTTTCTATCAATAAGGGGAACACATATGAAGCTCAGTTCCATGTCATATGGATGTCAGTGTCGCTTAAAGAGTTTGAAGGGAGGAAAGGATACCTGAGCCAATGCAGTTTGATTTGCGTTCTTGTTAGCATCTTTACCTGCTTCACTGGATGGGCCCCCCATCAAAAGCAATTCCACAGTATTTAAAGCACCGAGGAGATTTACTGTCTAAAGAAGACACAGTTTATAGCTTGAGTAAAATGTTGCTAATCCAAACTAAAGACAGATATTCCAAGAATTTATCATCAAGAACAGAAGCTGGACTGATGAACATAATACCTTCTGTTGGGTAAAATTAAATGCACTGCCTCTCCTAATCTTTAGTATTGATATCAATGGGTCAAAGCCCATTGTCTCTTTCAAAAGCATCTGATTGATGGAACAAAGTAAAAAAGTGGCATCAACGAAAAATCTAACAAATTAAAACTTTCAGAAAGGTTTTGGAAGAATGATGAACCTGATTCGAAGCACTATGTCGAATTAAATTATTTAGCAGTTCCAGGCAATCCTGCTCAAATAAGTAACATATTAGCACCAACTAAATTTTATATACCTAAAACCTTAATATGGGAACTGAAAAACAAAAGTTGGCAGCCAATTTCAGATAAAGAACACTAATAAGCAATTTTCCACCTGAACAACTACACCTCCATCAGAATAGCCCTCCTCCCTGATAATGCTAAATATCTTCTCAAACACACCCTCAAATACAACAATTTTTGAATTTCCTGGAATGAAGAGAATTAAAGTCAATTTAGTTATAAAAAGGAGAAAAATGCCAGTAACATAACAAATCAACATCTAGTATTAGACAGGTTTAACCTCTGCATCCCGAGTCAAATAAGTAAGAAGTAACAGTGCTTCATTCCTTATGACCTGCAAGGTATAACAAAAATAGGCAACTACATGAGTAATAAGATACCATAAGGATTGGTCGTGAACTCATGATATATCATTTTGAAAAACTTGGATCAAAATATGAAACAAAAATACTATGTTTACCATTTACAAGAGGACTGCATCTTTGAAAATACTATAATTAGAGTCTATGGTAGAATTAGGTGTTCAGTATATGTGGAATGTCTGAGTAGACATGTACTGAATCGTTCAGAAAAGGATATATAACAACCCAGACTAAATTGATTGTATATTCATTGATTTCGGAAACATTCTAGTCTGAGAACGCAATGTTCATATAAATTAGCATATAAGCTTCCCACAAACATTCGACTGTCCTAACACATACAAGGGCAAACAATAAATAAAAGCATAAAATGATTAGAATGTCATGAGCGGCAAGTGTTCTTCCTAAGAGAGTGAGAAAATAGGCAGAGAATGTTGAGACCTCACGATCCATAAGCATGTCCATTAGAACTGTTATACCACGAGGAATCAATAGAATTGCTTCCTGTAACCTGAAAAACAAAATAAAAGGCACTTACATGGGATTCAAATGTAGTCATGGCATCTCAACAGGACACAAAAATGACTTACTGGGCACCTTTTCAGCGAGTTTGTAAGTAGAGCTGTTAGAAGCTGGATTGTGTAGTATCTCACATAAAAGTCTTCCTCTGACTTCAAACCAAACAGGAGCGATAAGCCAGGACTCAGGACACATGAAGCAGGTGATGCAAGTTACATGCTGTTAAGGCAAAAGATGAGTAGTACTCACCAATAAGCTCAAAAGAAGAGAAATATTCTCCGTTTCTCGAGACAGCAGATCAGAGTTCACCGACGCCGGTTGAACCTCAGTCTTTGGCCCTTGTGACGTCTCAATAGGAGTCAATGCGCTCACAAAGGTCTCAAGGGCACCTCTCACAAGCTCTACATCCTCGCGGTCTTCTTTCAAAATATTGAGGAGGATAGGAAAACCTATTTTTGCAAATTAGAAAGGAAACAAATGTAAATATGCACCAGTCTCGCCAGAGCAGCTAGAGAACAAATATCAGGACACAGGGAGAAAGGAGATACCCATTGCTCCAAACGACATCTGTGCCGAGCGGCTTTCTGCCACAAGAGACTGCAGCTCGGTCATGGCAGACCTCCGGTCATCAGGTATCGTGCCATTGCTTATCCGGTCAAGATATCTCTCGACGTAGCTGCATCCAAGGGGCACAATGGTAGGATTAACTGATATAGGTGATGCACATAAATCAACTGCTACTTTTGCTTGATAAGAGCAGACAGCATTGCAGCAAGTCTGCGAGTGAAGTAAAAACCAAACATGAAATTTGCAACTGAGCCTACCTATCTTCCTTGGACTCGATCCCCTCGTTGCCGAAAACGAATTTCCCCATTCCCTGCCAAAGACACACGCAACACAAACGGGAGGTAAGTAAGCATCAAACCGACTTGACCAACCACTAGCATCTCGAGCTTGAATTCCACTACGACATAATACCCAGAACTCAAAATTGGTGATGCCCATCATGGTAGCAACTCGCCCCCGCGACCGCAGCAGCGGGGGGGCGGTCGTCCCTCGGGCGGGGTTCGGATAAGGAGCGCGAGGGAGTCGGGCGCGCGAACCTGCATGATGTTGCCGGCGCTCCCGGCGATGCCTCGGAAGTTGATCGACCGGTCCATGGATCGCGCCTTCCGCCGCGGTGGCGCCCTGCGAGGATGGGAAGAGCGACGAGGAAGGGGAGGGACGAAGGAACCGCTCGGGTGGCGTGTCAACTGCAGCGGTGAAAGGGCGCTCGCGGGAGGGGGGAGTCGCCGCCGCCGAGGCGGCGGAGGAGATCGGAGCGGGGTTGGGTCGGGTCGGATGCGGCGGAGTCGGGGCAGGCGGCTTGGCTTGGTGGAGACGAGTCGAGTCGGCGGTCACGGAAGGTTGTTGTTTTTTTTTTTTAGGAAAATCACGGAAGGTTGCTGGATTTGCTAAGCGAGATGACGTGGCCGCGGCCCAGGTTCCTGTTTTCTTTTTTATAAAATTGATTGATTGATGTAAATTTTGGAATGGCTCCTCTTTTTTTTCCTAATAAGGTAAATGAGATTTATTATATTAAAACTTGGCACATTATATATTCTCAAATTACATATTCCCTTCGTTCTAAATTAGAAGATGTTTTGACTTTTTTTTAGATACAGCACTTAGATACATACTACGTCTAGAGATAAAGTAAAGCTAATAATGTAGAAAAAACAAAACATATTGTATTTTATTTGAAGCTAAGAGAGTATATAAAATTTGGAACGTCTTATAATAGCGGGACAATTGACAATATCATATCACTAGGCTCGAAAAAGCTATAGCAGTATCTACAACACCGCGCTACCGATCTGAATCAAGTAGCTTATTATTTTTTGTGGGCCTATCACTATGATATTTTTAGAGTAAAACCGGGGGTTCTTACCGCCTCGTCCTGGCTCCAGGTTTTCAAAGGAGAATAATGAGCTAATTGGTTCCATATTTTTATGTGTAAATAATTGAAAAATATATTCAATACCTTTTTATCAAACATCTGTTTGAACTATGAACCCTTTATTAACATCTAGTACTTTTGAGAGTGTCCCTTATAGGAGGTTTCCTTCTTGCTTAAATCATCAACACACCATGGCCAGCTTGGCCACTCGGATCAGGAAAGAAGGAAGGCAATAAGAAGGGAAGAAGTAGAAAAGAAGGAAAATCACATGGGCAACCTCTTTCTCATCACCTTGGTTAGGGAAAGGTTTCCCAAAGCTGCATTTCTCTAGTTATTGGACAAAGAAGGAAAAGATCAAGGGGCAATCTCCAACAACACCACTCTACATCAACTTGCGACATTTTTTATGCTCAACAAGATATGTGGTAAGCCAATGGTGACCTTAAACCTAACCTAAACTCTAGAAGAACCCATTCAAATTCAAACCTTGGTAGGCTAGCCACGGATGACCTAGAGTTTCACTAGGCTATATTAACCCAATGTACCTTATTAGATGAACTCTAAACCTTCCTACCAACCTCTAGAAACAAACTCATTAGCAAACCATGGCTTGATCTACCCTCGACTAGTTCACCCAAACATGATCATTATCAGGTTAACTAAATCTCTTATCTACCATCTAAAAACATGATTCTCGTGTGTATCATTGGTGTTAAACTATAATCACTTCTATACCAAGGTAATTGTCTAAGTAAGCATATGTCGGTATTGCTTCTACTAGTCATCTCCAAATTGCAGAGGTGGTCATAAAGAGCAAATGGGTGGCTCAATGAGGAAGGACGTGGTAGAGATGGATCTCTAATCGGATTGTATGGCATGTCGGGCTGTCGACAATGTGGGTTGCTTATAGCGTGTTTGGTTGGCTGGTTCGTGCCCAGCCAAGCTCGTCGTATGCAACTTTGAGGCATTTGGTTGCTCGCATCGGAGTCCAAAACCTGCTCCCTAGATGCAAAAGGCAAACCAATCCCCATATACGGATTTCATTTGTATTTCTGACGAATTTGACTTGCATGGTGCGGTGTGCGGAGTTTCCTAACATTGATATTACCATGTGATTACTGTGTACTATGAGAATTAGTGTATTTTAAAGCATATTAAGATATTAGAAGTAAAACAGAAACTACTAGAGTGCACTTACACAAGTTAAATACTATAAGACCACTTGTTTTCCTATTTTTATTTTATATGGTATGGTTTTATGTAGGCAACAAACACCATTTCTTCTCGACCAAGCTATATACATGGAGACAACCAAAGAAGAATAGCTTGCACCTCGACAAGCTTGTCCAGCAAGGGCATGCTTCCTAGATGCGAGCCAGGCTCCTCTCACTAGCAAACCAAACATATGTTATAGCGTGTGGGCAATGTTGGTCGCTTGGTTGCTGGCTTCTACTGCCTGGTGTCCTAGATGGTTACACTCGTGCTACTACCCACACTAGTAGAGAACAGACCTTTGATTCTCGGCCAAAATGGGCTGTAGTCCCGGAATTTTTTGCCCCCGGGACTAGAAATACCTTTAGTCGGTTGGAGGCTCCAACAGGGACTAAAGGTCCCTCAACAACTCTTTGCGCCCGAGCAGTAGGTGGCGGGGACCTTTAGTCCCGGTTGGAGCCTCCAACCGACTACTAAAGCTCTTTACTCTCGGTTGGTGGATCCAACCGGGAGTAAGATCTACTCGAGGCCATGGCTGCCCCCCGGGTTGAAAAGTTACCTTTAGTCCCGGTTGGATCCACCAACCGGGACTAAAATCCCCTATATATATCGGCCGTCTCCTTCTTCCTCCCCGAGCCCGAGCTCGGCGTATTTTGAAGCTCACTACAGTGAGTGTTCTTGCTTCCTCCCCTCCCTCCATTGTTCCTCCATCTATTCTTGATTCCTCCGTCGATTTCTTTGATTTCTCCGTCGATTCTTGAGTTGTAAAGGTTACCAATCTCATACTCTCATTTTCACCATTGTCTTATCTCATTTTGTTCACTATATATATATATGGTTCTTTATTGTGGTTTTTTCATTTGTAAGCCATTTGAGCTCAAAATCACTTCAAGCTTGCATATTTACATGAAAGAAGGTTAAAGTAGCTAGTTGAACTTACGGACCGTGTTCATCTCGGCGACCATGTTCTCTGCCGAAGCGTAAGCAGACGTCAAGGAGGAGCTTTGATTCTCGAGGAAGAGCGGCAGCGGTCGTGGAAGACCGTGTTCCTTCCTTCCTTGTAGAATCGAGACTCTTCCTTGACCAAAATGATGCCGTCCGGTGGAGAAATGCTCACGAGATGATCACGTAACAAGTTCAACTAAATGCGAGATGAATTATTTATTCACATATCCCGATATCGTCGCAGTAGTTTGTCAATCACCGTACTTTTTATTTTAACTTTTTATGAAATGAAAAACTTAGAAAATTATAGAAAATCCGTACTAGTTGAACTTGCGGACCGTGTTCATCTCGGCGAGCATGTTCTCTGTCGAAGCGATAGCAGACGTCAAGGAGGAGCTTTGATTCTCGAGGAGAGGCGGCAGCGGTCGTGGAAGACCATGTTCCCTTCCTCGTAGAATCGAGCTCTTCCTTGACCAAGTACTGTGCCATCCGGTGGAGAAATGCTCGCCGAGATGATCACATAAGCAAGGTCAACTAATACGGATGGTTATTTATTCACACGTCCCGATATCGTCGCGATGATCTCATTATGTGTGTACACTCCCATTCTTACATTAATTTACGGAAATATCATGTGAATTACTTACTGCCGCGATAAAAGACGAGAACACAATGACCATTAAAAATATCATTGTTTAGAGATCTAGATAATTTTATAGTTTGTTAATTTTATTTGTTTATAAAAGGAGAAATTTATAGTGTATTAAAAAATGAGTATAGAGAGAGTAGATGTGCAACTGCTTGGGTCCTCGGCCTCTCATGGGTTTCCAAAGCGACTTAGGCGGGCCTTCCTCTCATTCCATGCGGCAAGTGTCGTGATGAGGCGAGATTGTGATGGAGTACCGAGTGAAGAAGGAGGGTCCCAACAAGGATCGTATCTTCTACAAGTGTCCAGGATCGCAATGTGAGTTATTTTATCGTGTTAATGATTATGGTTAGTTTATACCTATTTTCATGATGGTTGTGATTAAAGTTCTAATTTTTGTTTTTAATTTCATTGGGATGGCGGTGGGCGATGTTCGGGCTTCTCTTTGGGAGGAAGAGTATGTTGAACTTCGTGCAAAAATATCTTACACAACAGGCGAATCTGGCGGCGGCTAATGAGGCGGTGATCCAGGTAGAAGAAGCCCAAAGATGTTACACAATCGGGGATCTGCTGTTTTAGTTGAGATTGGTCATGAAATCCTTGTGCTCTGAAATGTATTTTAGCTTTAGTTCTTTTAGTGGTAGTTGAGATTGTCTACATTGTAGCGATGCTTTCATAAATTTGTATCTTTTGTGGTGGCACGCATGTTGTATAAATAATTAATTATGATCTAGGTTTTAATATAATATTTATGTCATGTAATGCGGATGAGCCATCATTGGATGTATAATGCTGATCGCCGCTCCCAAGAGTTCATTGACGGCGTGCATTCTTTATTACGTCTTGGGCCGAGGCAAACAAAGCGCGACGTTTCATGTCTTTGCCCATGTGCCATATGTAAGAATACGGTGAAATATCCTTACTCAAGGACTCTTCATTCACACTTGTTCAAGTCGGGTTTCATGCCAAACTATATTTGTTGGACAAAGCACGGAGAAACCGGTGTTGTAATGGAAGAAGGTGAAGAAGAACAATGGGGCGACAATGATATTATTCTTGATGGTGCGTGCTTCAATGATACTTTTGCAATGGGAGAAGTCAAGAAGAGGTAGCCGCAGAAAGATGAGCCGGTGATGATCTTTGCCAGTCATTAAATGGCGCTTAAAGAGAATGTGTGAAAGTGAAAAGGAGAAGATCAAGTTTGAGCGGATGCTAGAAGATCACAAGAAATTGTTGTACCCAACTTGTGATGATGCGAGGCGAAAAAAGTTGGGAACCACACTAGAATTGCTTTGCAAATGGAAGGCAAAGAATGGTGTATCGACAAGGGATTTGGAGAGTTACTAAAAATCCAAAAGAAGATGCTTCAAAGTACAATGAATTGCCCGCCACTACCTCTGAAAGCAAAACAAGTTGTA